TATTTATATTATTTATTACTATTATTTATATTATTAATATAATAATAATAATAATTGTCTATTATTCAGTGACGTATACTTTAGTACGGCTCGGTGTATTGCCTAATTTAAAGTCGAGTTTTAGACGTGCAAATTCATTATATATTATTACGTATTAATATAGTTGTATGTAATAATAATATATATTAAATAATAAAAACAATAGTGAGTAATAAAAATGACGTCATTTAATAATAATGATGACGTCATTTAGAGTCACCAGTCGATGATCAGTTGGTCACCGTGCTCAACGCGTTCCATATCGCCGTCGTGCGCCTCACCGCTGCAGCTGAGGGGATCGTGGGCCTATGACGTCATCTATTTACCGGGCAATCTCGAGAGGGCAATTAAGATCATGAAGGGTCCGCTGGCACTGGGTTAGGGTGTTGTTTATTATTATTTATTGCTATATATTATTATTTATTGTTATTTATTATTACGTATTATTTATTATTATTATTTATTATTATCATTATATTGTAGGACTGGTTCTTGATGCAGAAGCGGATAAAGGCGTGAACGGCTGCGTAGTGAAGAGCGTGTGCAGCAGAAAGGCAGTGGCTCAAGATGGCAGAATACAGGTAGTTTTTATTATTATTTGTTGTATATTTGTAATATTGACGACAATTATACTAATATTAATTTCAGGTCGGCGATTACATAGTGAAGATTAACAACGAGGGCATGAGGAACATAACGAATTCGCAAGCGCGAGCCATTTTGAAACGAACGAATCTGATCGGAACGCAGTGCAAGTGGGTTATTTATTATTATATTCATTATTGTTGTTATATTTATTATTATTATAAATATTATTATAATATTATTAATAATAGTTTCAGTGTTGTTTATATAACGTCAAGTGATGCGAAACTGTGGAAGGAGCGGTTCCACCACGCGGATAGCGAAGCGCAATCGCCCGTTATCAATAGGTTGTCACCGAAGTTGGTTTCATTTTATTTATTTATTATTATTATTATTGTT